CGAGAGAGGCGTGAAGCTGCGAACGCGGACAATGTTGTTCTCGGCGGCCCATGTCTCGACGAGACTACGCACCGAGGCACTGGAGTACATGCCGTGCGTGATGGTGCCGGGCAAGTTGGCGTATCCGGCAAATACACGCGAAACGTGAATGGGGTTGTAGTCGCCGGAAACACGAGCGTACGTCTCGTTGGAAGAGGGCGCACGAAGCTGCAGAGGAGTCTTTCCGCTCAGAGGAATGGGGTTCTCAAAGTTGAGGGGCTGATCGAGGGGCGAGCCGTGGCGCTCGAGGTAGTCAACGACAGGGTTACCATGCGAGACACCAGCCTCATAATCGACGCTAGCCACCTGGATAACCTCCTTGCTGGGGAGCTCAAGTAGCACCTGGCCGTAAGTCTGGATGCTGCTGAAAACAGTCTTGTTCTGGAACTTGAGGAAGCTCTGCAGACGGAACTCAAGAGTCTGTCCGAGAAGCTGGATGTCCTGAGGGAGGTCGTCAAGGTTAAACCACTCCTTGGCCTTGAGGACAGCGACATCCTGAGTGGTGGCGAGGTGAAGCTGCACAGGAGTCTCGGTCTTGCGCTGGAAGGTGTTCTCAAAGTCCGAGTACACACCGCGGTACAGGAATTGGGACGTCACTTCCATGACGGCCTCGCCATCACGGCTAATTGTGCCGCAAACCTCAACCATCTTACCAGACTCCTGGTTGATGACAGCATTGATCTGAGCAGTGGTGCTGACCTCGTCACCCTTCTTCAAAGGCTCAGCACCGGGTAGCATACGAAACTGGTTCGACAGGTGGACGAGCTTGAGGAGATCGCCGTCGATGGTGCGGGGGAAGATAGGCTTGGTAATAGCCTTCCAGCCGACAACAATAGCAAAGTCCATCGGCGCAAATACTGTCTTTCCGGGACGCTCGACAAAGGCCTCACCAGTGTTGCCAACAGCATGGACAAAGTCGTTGATGTCCTCTCCAGTGATCGTAGCCTTGCCACCATCAAACTGCTTGGAGACGTCAGCATCGAGGTCGAGAGTCTCGTTGCCGAACCAAGCACGCCAGTAGAACTCCTTGATGCGGTCATTGCGGCCCTCCATGACCTCGTGAATCGGAGCGTAACCAGCCTCGGGGCGGTACACGAATTTCAGGGGCAGGGACACAGGCTCGCCGAGGGCAGTGGTGTCCTTAATCATGTTGACCAGGATCTCGTTGCTACCAACAAGCTTGACCTCCAGAACGTCGACGTACTGGTTGTGGCGCGGTTGCTCCTTGACGATGATCCGGGTCCTGGCAGGGTCGTTGGGGTAGTGGATCTCCACGAAAAGGCCACGGACGGGGGCGAAGATGCGCTTCATCGGGTTGGTCTGGAACTTCTGACCTTGAACAAGAACCTCAGAAGTCAGGAGTGCGTGACGCCAGCTGCGACGGGGTCCGGCAAGAAGAGCCAGCCAGGCATCCTCAGTGGGCATGGTGGCAGACGGCGAAAGGTGCAGGCGGTACGTGTTCTTCGTCTCATCATACGAGGTAAGAAGACCATCGACATCCTCGACCGGGATCTCGGTATCGTTCAGCTTACCACCGAAGTACTCGATGGTGGGGATCGACTTCTTGTCGCCGCTGTAGAAGTCCTGGGTGAGACGCTCGACGTGGGCGTCGTGAACACCATCAAGGATATCCTTGATAGGTTCGTCCAGAATGGTGGAGAACTTGGCGGCGGTAGGGCCCTGGAGAATACAGGTCCTGCCGACGTCCTGGCCAATGACGGCGCCGAGGTCCTCGGACTGCCACAGCGAGTCCTTCTTGAAAAAGAACTCAAAGTTCTCATCAAGGGCGGGCACAAAGGTGGGGGGCTTCTGGCCGCGACGCTGGCAGAGCATGAGGAAGTGCTGGACGTCCTGCGCGTTGATAATCTGGGTGTCAGCCTCGGGGTAGCCAGCAAGAATTCTCTTGACAGTCTCGTAAGGGCTTTCGAGTTCGCCAAAGTCCTGGAGCAGGGAAGCCTGGCCAGGCTTCGAGGTGAAACGCTCCTCAACACGATGGATGAAATCTCCAGTAAACTTCTTGTAAGAAGCATCGATCCAGCGAGACTCGTGCCTGACGTAAAGCAAGTCGACCATGCGACGGACTACCTCGCCGTAAGTCATATCCTCGAGGTCGACAGTCTCACCGAAACGGTTGCGGCCAAACCAGACCTTCTGGAAGTCATCGTTCAGCTTCTTGATGATGTAGTCGCGGTTCTTCTTCAGTTCAGGAACGCGCTTCTCCTTGGGAAGACTGAAGATCTTCTTGTCCATCTCTGCCCACAGGACCACACCTCGAGTAGCCAGCTTGTGAATGGGCTCACCCATCTCAGAGCGAACCGTAATGACGCCACCAGCAGGTCCCTTGTAGGTCTTCTCCCAGGACTCGTCACCAATACCAGGAGCATCAACGATGGCCTGCTTCGCGTTCTTGCTCGTATGGGCCTCCTTGGCAACCATCATGCGGCTGCCAAAGAGTGTACCATCAAAGGGCATGGGGGGGTAGCCGTAGCCCTTGGCCCACTCACCGGTGAGGTAAGGGTACGTGTCATCAGCTCCACCGAAGCCACTGCCAGCAACAAGAATAATGTTGGGGGTGCGACGGATACGTCCGTACATGCTCAGAATGGGCTGGTGGAAATCCTCGAAGGAGTGGTGGCCACCACCGCGACCGCCGGTCCACTGGAGAATCACGGGGAAGTCGGGATTGGCCTTGGCGATGTTGATGACGGCCTGGATGGCATCGGACGAACCAGGCTTGAAGGCGATGTGCTTGAGGCCGAGAGTTTCAATGTACTCCTGAGCAACCTCAATGGAAGGGACACCGGCGCCGATGGTCAGACCCTCAATGGGGACTCCCTCAGCCCTAAGGCGGCCAAGGAGGGGAATCTGCCAAGCCATGGCGCGGGGGTTGACGTAGATGAGGTTTACGGTGATACCACGGCCGGCGGTAATGGCTCCTTCAATCTTAGACAGGGCCTCCGTCATGGTCTTGGCGTTGTAGTAACCACCGCCAGCAAGCTCAATGTGGTAGCCAGCGTTCATGGTAGCGGATACGAAGTCCCAGGGCACCGTGCAGGGCGTCATACCGGCGACCATGACGGGAGGAAGACCGAGCAGCCTGCTCATCTTGGTGTCGACGAAGGTACGGCCCTGCGAGGTGGTCACCAGACGGGGTCCAAACTCCTTAACCCAGTCCACAGCATATCGGATAGCGTGCTCTTCGTCCCTGTCGAAAAGCTCAGACTTGTAGCCGACCTCTGTGACGGTGCCGTTGACGGATCCAGCCAGGATAACGTGGACGCCAGTGCCCTCCTTGTTGCGGCTGGTGAGTATTCCGAGGCCGGAGATGCCGCCAGGGCCAAAGTCGAGCACGTGGGTGGCATCGGGAAACACGGTGGCCTTCTCCCAGTTGACGGGGTCTCTGGTTATGAGACGGACCAAGGCAGGAACAATGTTGCCTTCGACCTCCTCCCTGATATCCTTGCCAGTGTTTGTGTCAAAGACAGGGATGCCAAGATCCTCGGACAGGATCTCGATATCCTTGAGGTCGCCATCGATCAGCTCAGTAGCCTCGGCGAGGTACTTGCTGTGGAAGGGGGCCGTAATGGGGAGGAAGCGGTTCACGAACCGGCTCTTGCGCTCGGTGTAAGGGATTCGGGTCTGGTCGAGGCCAGTGGGAGCCTTGACCTTGCGCAGCTGGGCGTTGAGACCGTACAGGGAGATCGGAGGACCGGTGACGACCAGGTTTCGCGGGCTGTTGATGAGAGAAATGGAGATGTGACGGTCTGCGGGTAGGTATTGGTTGGTGGCATCGATGTGCTTCTGGACCTCTGCCTGAGATAGGTCGCGGATGCTCAACATGGGAGTGGGGGTGCCCTCGCCATTGTCGATGGACTCGCGCAGCATGTTGGGTGTGAGCGACGTGCGGGGGAAGACCTGCTGACTACGGGCACCAATCCAGAAGAGGATGGTGAACGCCGTGGGCGCGATCTCCTTCCACGACTCCCAAGAGCTAGCAGCAGCAGTGGCCGCAGCCAGAACGACACCTTGCGAGTGACCGGTGGAGCCGCTCAGCCTCTCTCGCAGCTTGCCGGGGTTGACACCCAGGGCCTTGCACGTCGCCTCGTAGTGGGCGAGCTGCACAAGACCGATCACAGGGAAGCTGACGGGGGCGGAGACGAGGTAGTCGAGATCAGGTGTCGCGTCCTCCTCCTCAAGCCACCTCATAACGTTTTTTGCCCTTGGGGTAGAGCTTCTCGGCGCTGGGGTGTTTGGACAGGTTCTGAAAGGAGCTCGGCGGCGTGCAGAATGAGCTCGCCTACGAAAGGCTGATAGGTCTTGTAGATCTCACGCAGCTCATCAAAGTACTCTTCAATATTGCCCTGGCCGCCAAAGATGGTGTAGATGCCAGCAGCGCCATCCTCGGCGGCGCGGAACAGAGCCGACTCGTGCTCCTTAATGGGACGTCCCGCTGTTTGGCGGGCCTGGTAGTAGCTCTTGATCACAATAAGCTTCTTCTCGTCAATGCCAGGAAGAGATGCCACGAGGGCGTGGACTTCGTTGCCCTGCAGGTAGCCACGCTCGAACTCGACGAGAATGAGCTTGAGCACCTCCTCGTACGAGCCTTGATCGTCATCCTCGCCCTTCTCAACCTCGCTAGCAATAAAGCCGAGGTATCTGGCGAGGAGTTCGGCCACGGATGATGGCTCTTCGTCAAGCGCGAGCTCATCTGTGGCGGTGGGGAGGCTGGCAGAGAAGCGGTCCCTGAGCTGCTGTGCGTGGTAGTGGAGAGCGGTCGGCACGAGGAAAGAGGTCTCCAGCGAGCCGTGGGTGAGCGTGAGAGGTCGGAGGGAGGCGTTGGATCGGGGGGTTGAGACACCCGTCTGGGGGCCAGTGCCGGTACCGTACATGATGGGTAAATTATTGGGGGGTATCGAGAAGATATGCGTGGGCGAAGGGGAGCTGTTCTCGTGGTCAGCCTAGCATGTTCATGGCAGCAGCACGCAAGTCAAGCTCCAGCAATCGATGTAGAGCGGAGCGTGATCTCACCTTTCGAGTCTGACCCCGTGAACTCAGCGAAGAGCAGGAGACAGTGCTGGTGATTGCTCCGGTACGCTGCGATTGCGGCAGCAAGTTTTCTGGAATGGGGACCCTGAGCGCAGCTAGGCACACGTGGATATCGGGTCTTTGAGAAATGGAAGGATTCTCCGGCGGCAGGGAGAGGATGTACGGCGCAAGAGGAATAGAAGGTATCTCGTCAAACCCCAGGAGGTAGCAGCGGTATCAAGACAGATGATGCTGTTTAAGGAGGAGGAAGTAGGGGGGATTCAATGTCTGGGAGGAAGATGGAGGAGGCAGGCAGAATATGCGCGGCAGATGGGGGAGGGGTAAGGACGTGATGTGTTCAAGAATGTGTGTGGCCTGGACTACTAGTTCCTTGAGGGCGGTGGAGGAGGTGCGAGTGTGAAGGTCGGGATTCTGGAGCAATTGACTCTTAGCGAAGAATCCTACCAAGCTCCCTTTCCCTTGGGGCTGCGCGGAATGGGTGGATGGATGGATGGATGGATGGATGCTCTTTGGGCAGTTGTCTCGACAGCCTCTCCACTCATTGTCGGATTGACCAACCTAACGCAACAACGCAACGCCTCAATGGTCCTCACGGAGCCCTCAACAGCAAAAAAGTCTGAGCCGGTCGTTCGGAAGGGAAAGAAGTTGCAGGGGGGGTGGTCGAGGGGCTGGAGGGGCAGGCAGGGGGTAGCTCTGGATTACTCTCGCCAAAATTTTAGTTCTGTTGGGGGAGGGCAGCGCCAGAAGTCCCAGAAACCAGCTTCAGACAGGGCATATAGGCACCCGGTAGGCAGCCCCAGCGGTCGACCAGGTACCATGCCATGCTGGGGACGCCGCTCTTGCCCCCCCCCCAACTACCATGTTCGTTGTGGATGCGCGCCGCGGCTGCAACCCGAGTGATCCGCAGGGATGGACGGGTGTGGGAGAAGTACCGGTACATTGCATTGGCACTTATTCTCGCTTGACACAAGAAGTACTCTGCAACCTGTCAAGTGCCAGGCTGTCATAAAGAAAAAGTTCCATCAGTCAAAGTCGCGGGAACCTTCGGGCAAAACAAGGCAACGAAGCAAAGACTTGACCTCAGGATGCGATCAGCCCCGGATCACTGCCTCTGCAGTGCAATACGACCAAGTACTCGACGTTTTCTGGCTAAGACCTCATTGGCCCAGGCTGATTTCGGTACATTTGTCGACCCTACCTTATCTCTCACCCTCTCCCTGCTGTGCCGCTGAAGCTACCCTGGCCCCGACGACACATTATCCGGTAGGCGGTCAGGCAGCTCAATGGCCACGGGAGGCTGCAACAGGGTTTCTGCCACTCATTTCCCGTGCCCCAAAGATCACCCAAGCCACCCCACGCTGTAAACTAAAGACCCTGAATTCCCCGTTCCGCGCGCTGCCGACGCAGGCCGCGGATTAGGGGGAGTTCAGCAGTAGGTGCCATCCTGAGTCAAGGGGGCAAGCCACGAGGCACAGCATCAAGAATGGAGCCGTTTCGCCATGCGTGGGATACTGGGAACTCTTGACGACGGAAGGGAGGCTGAATCAAGAATGGAGATGTGGAGGGTGTTGAGCGAGGCCTCGGGCTCGAAAGGGTGAGTGAGATGGATGTGGTGGACGAGAGAAGGGAGCACTCGTTGCACCTTACAAAACGTTCCGAACGTTGGCCCCAGCGTGCAGGCAAATGTCCCAGCGGAAACACGCCGGACAGGGTATTGTGGCGACCCTGGTACCGGTACGAGCAGCTAGCCGGCAAAGCAGCGGGAGGCCAACAGCCAACGCTTGGCGGCGCATTACCACCGTCATCCCCAGTAAATGCCATCATGGCGCCACTTTCCCCTGCACCTCGATATTTTGCGGGCCAGGCCTTGGGCGGGAGCTCCCTCGGTCGTCGGAGAACTAGTGTCGCGAGCGCAAGGCCGAGACAGATAGAAGGTTCTTTCGGTATGCCGTGAGAGCCAATGATGTTGCATGACTTTGGAGGGCAGATAACAGGCTACGATGACGAACACCGTGTTATGTTGTGGAAGCGTGGTACCGCCGGCCGGTCGAGATCTGATTGTTGATGAGGCTCATGTCGATGCATAAGTTGGGACACAGGCTGCAGGGCCGTGACGAAAGGCCTCTCGTCCTCATCCCAATGGAAACTGGTGTGGAATCGCACATGGTGGGGTCAGTGAGGGGTCAGCTTGCCCCGTTCCCCTGGTGTATTTTTTCCTTTTTGGGCTTAGCTGTGGCAGATGGTTGAGGAGTCTGCTCCATCTTGCAGCTTCCCACCAGCATGGACCCAAAGACACGTCGGGTCCCGGCCCAATCTTTTTTCTCCTAGGGGAACGCGTGTGGTGGGAAAGTGCTACCAGGGGAAGGAGGGGGCCCAAGACTCTTAACCTGTCCAGGTAGGAAAGTACCTAGCGGCAGCTCTCGCTCTCGTCAATGGGAAGAAGCCTGGGCCTGTCTCACTGAACTGGCTTGTATTCTGTGAGGCGTGCCACCACAATCCATCCATCTCGGTTCAACAGTCGCTTGTTTTTTTTTCTGACTGATCCCTCCGCCTGAACCGTTGCCCTCCCCTCCTCCGCCGCCCCAAAGAAAGGAAAGCCAATTGCAGGAGACAATTCCCATCTCGAAGCCCCATCACCACCAACATCTTCTCCCCCTCCTAGGCTTTGCTCTCCCGGGCGGTCTACTTCCCTTTGCCCGTCTCTCCCACGGACTTTGACCCTCTCCAACTCCAACAACTCCCCGCCTTCCTAACCTTTCACTCACCCCAAGTCCTCGACCAGCCTAAAACGCATCGACCTGGCAATTCCTCCCCTTCCCCTCAGGCTCGCTGGGTCTCCCTACTTTTTCCTTAATACCCAACTCGACCACCCGGCACTACAAGGACCGACTCAAAAGGCACAGAAAACCCCGAGGCAGCTATATCCCGGGCAGGCTTGATCTCTGGTTTACTCGCGAGACTCGCTCCAAAGGTTGACGA